GACTCTAATTTCTTGCATTTTAATTCCCGTAAATTATAAACTGCCTAGATGTATGTATAAGATTGTATGGAAAGACAAACTGAAATAAAAATAGTAGAAAACCCTAAATTGTGCAAAGATAATTAACCGAAAAAATACACTTGCACATATTCACTCATAGGGTTTACTCCACTTGGTTGCCTCAGAAATAACGGTCGTGTCCCTCGAACGTAGGGATACCTTAGCAATGAACCGCGATTCAAAGTCGTCATAAAGATCATAGTCCCTACTTGTCCCTCGAGTTGCCTACGAATTGATCTTATGACGATAGTCCCTTCGAAATGCTAAGGTATCCTTACTTGTTGCCTTCAAAGACCATTTCTTCCCTTCGAACGTCCCTTTAAAACTCCAACGACGGTGCTACCTATTCCTTAATAATAGGATAGCGATGTCTAAAGGAAAACGAACAGACCTTTTTCGAGTAGGTAGATTAGTTCCTAGGTACTTGCTCAAACAAATTTTTTCCACACAAACACTTTTCAAAACAATTTTCAAAACGAACTTCGTCACACTCTTGAGGACTGATACAAGAGTCATCACGAAGTAAAACCTTTTCAAAACAAGCACGTGCAAGCAATTTAAAAATGAGCAAGTACCTAAGAGCCCGTGGAAAACCACAGATAGAAAGGGTGCTAACACCTTCCCTTTCTATAATCTACCCCCCGTACTCAGAAACATCTCGAAAAAAGGTTTTTTCTGTTCTTTTTCCTTTTCCTGATTAGATAAAATAAAAGTCGGTGGCGACTCTTGCTTACCGCGATATTTGCGAATACAAAACGTAAACCAGTATAACAGTCGGTTCTGCCACCATATCACAGGAACTTATAACCAATTAATTTTTGAAATCTAATCGATTAGCTAACAGTAAAATTCATTAAACAAAAATTACATTTTGGGCACACCTTTTTCCTATAAATAAAAGCCTCATTTATCATTTTAAATCATCCAGAATCGTGTTTTGACACTACCCCCTCTCTCTCTCTCTCTAAGTTTTTTATTTTTACTTTCTCTCACTAGATATTATAGCCAAATGCTTTTGTGAAGAAAGTCGCTTTGAGAGTGAGGTTGTTTGTGTAATTTAGGAAATGATAGAATTGTAAAAGTTCACCAAGGGTATCATTTATATATACATTGGTTGAATAATTTACAATAGGGATTATTTGTAGTTAGAAGTTAAACCCGATAAAAGCTTTGGTTGAAGATTGTGTGATCAGTCATAGATTGAAGATTAGTCGATATTAAAATCTTCCTTGGGTTCTTGGTTAGCCTGTTAAAACCAAGATTAGTTGAAGATTAGCTGGTATTAAAATCTTCCTAGGTTTGAGATTAGCACGGTTAAAATCTCAGAAGTTATTATTTATCCTGTTTAAGCCAAAGTTATTGAGCTCAAATTTTGAAACTGGAAGACTAACCATTACAAGGCCCGTGTTCGTGGAAAGGAGATTAACTGTTTCAATCTGCATTTGGGAAGGAAGCTTAGCCACTTTACTCTCAGTAAAATTTTGGAGAAAAGACGTAAACACACATATCTATCGTCTTGTAATATTTTGGTTGAAGGTCAACCACCATTTCCTTGAATAAAGGGGTTTGTGGGTCTTTCCTACTAAAAGTTCTCAAGTATTATTAGAAACTCTCAAGACCAAGTCTCGGGGAGAGGAGTAAGTCCTTTTGATTTGACCTGAACTCTATAATTTTGTGTGTTCTTCTTCTTTTCTTAACTATTTAATTTATGATATTTAATTTCCACAACTTAAACTTTTAAAAATATTTTTAAACTCTAATTTAAATTGCCAAAAGTTTTCAAAACCATGTTTTTTTCAAAACACACAATTCACCTCCTATTATGTGTGGAGTCTCAAGTCTAATAAGTGATATTAGAGCCTAACTCCTGTTTAAGGACTAATTGTCTCAGAAAGAAGATGAATTCCCGTACATGATCTTTTTTAAATTCCCCACCACCTTTTGAAAATAACAACTTTTTTATTTGGCAAACTAGATTCAAAAAAATTTCTTGAAAACTTAAATTATAATTTTTGGGAAATAATTATAAAAGGTATGATTTATCATTCTCATCAAATTAATGATGAAATAATAGATAAACCTTATTCTCTTTGGACTGAAGAAGAAAAGAAAAAGATATATATATATATAGATCTCAAAACTAAGAATTTCATAATAATGTCTTTAGATAATAATACGTTTTCTTTGTTCATCATTGTAAAACCGACAAGGAAATATGAGATACTCTGGAAAAGATATATGGAGTTTCTCAAAGTATCAAGCTAGATAAGATGAACACACGAGACAAAGAAGATACAAATACTAGTCTTGGATGCTCTTTTATTTTATAGAAATATAGGAATCCTTGTTGGAAACTACTAACAAATATCTATGAATTAAGAATTGAAGAATTAATCAAACTCTTAAATCTATAGATGGAAAACTTCATGAGTTTCAAGAAAAATTAAGAAAGAAGGAGATCATATAGAAGATGAACAAGCTGGTTCAAATTCTTAAATAAGAACAAATCGAAAGCGAAGAATCATCGTCCTCATCTTATTCCTATCACACAACTCTGATTCAATCCTTCGAAAGAACATACTCAATCGTTGAACGATCAAAATCAAATGAATGAATCCTCTTCTTCAAGGAGCGAAAAGAATATGAAGAAATCTCTTCAACATTTGAACAAAGAAGAGGAAAAGAAATATCAACCTAATGGAGAATCATGAAAGAATTATATTCAAATAAAGAAGATAGAATATGCTTAAAGACATCGAACGAGGAAGATGAAATCTCGAGATCAAAAAATAAAGATCTCCTAAAAGGGAAGTATCATGTATATAAATGCACTCACTATAATAAAACTGTACACTTGAAATATTTTTTCTATAAATTGAAAATATCTAAAGGTAATCACCTTAGATTATCTGTAACTAATGCAATTGGGCCCAAGAAGTTGATATGGGCACCAAAGGTGAAACCTTAAGTGCTTTTTCAGGAATGCTTTACAACTTGAAGTCTAAATGGTTATTTAAAATAAGTTGTACAAAGCATTAGTATATTCTAGGAGTATATAAGATTTGAAGTCTTTAATCTCAAAGATGAACGATGATGACGAATACCAACCATTGCGATCAAAAAAATATATTTTGAGAGCATTTCAAAAATGATGATCTGAAATGATCAGTTGAATGTGTATATCTGTAATAGACTTATCCATTATGTGAATTGACCAACTCTCACATCCAACAATGTATGAAGAAGAATACACCATATAATGTCTTCCCTTTAAGGAAATATTTATCAAGAGTAGTTGGTAAAAAGAGGTAAAATTATTTTAAAGTTGAAATAATCGAGAAAATCTGATTAATCCCTTAAAATAATTATTTTATTTATCTGCTCATTTAAATTGAAATATTTCTAACCCATAAAAATGAGTTTCTTTAGTATTCTATAGAAAAAGGTGCAAACAGGGATACATAAAGACACAAGTCCAACACAAGGCCCAATAAGCACCAATAAAAGGTCTTAATCAATTAAACACTTGGACCTAATCGATTGTATCACCTGTAATTTCAAAAGTATGAACATTGGCGATCTCTTCAACAGATAGTTGGAGGATTAAATACTATAACAGACACTTGCAACATAAAACTTCAAATTATTATCGTTGCTAATCGATTAGAAAAATGCATCTAATCAATTAGACAAATTGTTATAAGAGGCAATTTTTCATACTTTTCATTACATTATTTTCTTATTTTCTATTGCATAAAACACCATATTCTCTCATCATCACCATCCAAAAATGACCTCAAAGAGTCATATACGAGAACCAGACGGGTAGGAACCTCAGAGATGCAAAGTAGATGTATCATCAAACACATTATCAATAACTCGTGGCCTTGTGGTCCATGTTGCGACATTCTCATATCATAACGACGTAGTTTGGGACACCCCCCAGCATAATTCAGCCGATGTTGTTTTCTGAATCCAATCTGGAGATGTATCTCCAAAAATAATGCAGCGCAAATCCAAAGATGTATCTACGGACAAACCTATGATTGTCTCCCATGGTAGAAATACCATTTCTGCCATAACAATCCAAAAATACATCAATGCATATTCTTCTAACTCACCAATTTCGTTTACACTACTATCTAATGTATGTAAAACAAATAATGTAGCTTAAACAACTAAATACAAATCAAAACATAAAAAGAGATAGAATTTTTAAAAACTTACCAAATCAAATTGAATGTAAAGTTATGAGATGTTGGAAAGGAGGAGTTAGACCTCCAATGATCACAGTTTGCTAAAGAGAAAAACTTTAATGAAATATAGAATTGAAAAGTTTAGAGGAGGAATTACATTTTTTTTTTTTTTGCAAAAAACTAATAAGGAAGCGTGAAAGGTAGTCTTGTGCAGGATATGAAAGTAAAATGTGTGAAGATGCATCTTGAAATCACCCACAATTATTTAAATAAATGATATATTTGAAGATGCACCTTGAATACACTTTTGTGCATACAAAGATACATATCCGAATTCATTTTTGATACAATTTGAGTGTCTCTTCAATTTGATACGAAAAATGACTAAAATAGTTAGATAAAAAAATGAATCTTTAAACTTTAAAAGTAGTATTGACTTTTATGGTGGTGTGAGATAAGACATAGGAAAGAAAAGAACATCCCTTAAAAAGACATGCGAAAAATGCATTTAATTAATTAAATTAATTAATTAAATTTAAATAATATAAAAATCAGAGAAGGAGAAGGTGAATGTGAAAGTGAGAGCAAAACGTTAGTAGCACACAATTCCAGACCAATTGGTTTCCTTGGGATATAGTAGTATTATTTATTAATTTCTCTGTCGAATGCGATACAAATAGCTATTTTTTTTATTTTTCTGATTATCCAATCCATTCTCTTCCTCCTTCACATTTTGACTTCACCATGGCCGTTTCAATTTCAACCTCCTCCATAACCCTATCTTCTTTGAACTCCTGCACTCGTGTGGGTGCTTCTTCTTCTTCTTCTTCGCCGCAACTTCAATTTCCTGTTCGAACTCGCTTTCTTCCGATTGGTACTCGCCGTCGTCCCGCTTTCTCACGCCCTAGATTCCTGGTAACCAAATATCTTCCATATTATCTTTGTAGTAGTATGGAGATGTGGACTATAGGACCTCTATAGAATTTAGAATTTATTTTGGGTTATTTCATGAAATATGCATTTGCTTAGTGTTTCCAAATATTTGTCAAATAAATAACTTATTATGTGCTCAGAAGCTGTTTTGTAGTTTGGTTTCAATGCTCCCTAAATTAGATTATACCATGTTTTTAAATTGCGGTTGTTGTGGATGAGGTTATGGGTATTGTCGCGGTTGTGGGTGTTGTGATTTCCGTGCCGCAGATGCGGTTGTGAGTGTTGCAGTGTTATCAAATACCGGTGCCATGGCCGCTATGGCGGATAAACATGGCAGTTTTTAGACTCGCCACAATGGTAAATACCGGCTGATATTACGGGGTTTTTCCGCTATAACGGCGCTGATCCGCCATCGACAGCATTGGGGTGTGGTGATTGCAGTCATTACTGTTGTTGGGGCGCATTGCTAGATTGCAGAGATTTTTCATTAAATTAGAAGAAGATTGAGTTTTGGAGTTCATTGCTATGTGGGAAGAATTGAACTGACATGGCTAAAATGGTCTAATGCGGTTTCTCATAGAGTCACAAATGTTATTTCGCAATTGTGCGACTACCACAACGTCAATATCGAGGACCACAATGTATGCTCACCCTTTTGGACCTCTTTGATTACCATCTACCCAAATCTCTTTTTTAAGGTATGTTTGGTTCTACATAGGAAAAGATAGGGGTTTTAATGGAGGAAATAGTAAAACTACCTTTTCCATCATTATCATATGAGGATCAAATTAAAAGAAATGACATTTAAGTCCAAATAAAAAACAAGTGTTCTCCTGGTCCAATTTTTGAATTTTTTTTTGAAAAATTGAATAAATTGAATGTAATCACATGTGTTGGCGTCGTGTCGGTGTTGAACACCAACACATTTTTGTTGAGAGGATTTTGTGCTACAAAGATTTTTATCCTTTCCCCCTCCATTCTCTTCCACCTATATTTTGTTCTAATGTTAAAAAAATAAGGTGTCTTGTATTAATGATGATAATATGATAGGATATTTTATTACAGACCAAACATTAATGATTATACGATACCTTATTTAAGCTACTTCTACCGTTTTTATACTATCCACTTTACCCCGTCAAATTCCTTCAAAAATAAAGAACAGGTTTATCTTTCTATAAAATCCACTTAGATATCCTCATTAGAGATGCTTTTATAAGTAATGCTTTTCTGAGTAGGTTTTAAACAACTGTTATGATCATGTCGGGATTTTTGGTATTGTGGTGAATCATGGTAGGATGCGTCTGTGAGGCCTCAATTGCTGTCATGTTACAATTCCTACCTTTGTTTAAAACACTGCATATTAGACATAACTTCTCATATGATCAAATAGATACTCAATTAAGTTGTTTATTCAATTGCTTCCCTTATTTGGTTGTTGCCTTGTGCCCTGCATCACCAGAATTTTTCAGTATGATGAGCAGTGTCTATCCATGCTTGCACTCAAACCTGTTAAACTGAACTTTCTTGCTTCTGCAACAATCAATTGAGAACTGACCCAGCTTTTTTGGATTTTATGTTCTGTAGGTTCAAGCAAAGAAACAAACATTTTCCTCTTTTGATGATTTGCTTGCTAACTCTGACAAGCCCGTATTTGTTGACTTCTATGCAACCTGGTAACTTTCACCCCTTGTGTTTTCCATTGTCTTCTTATCTGTTCGTTTTGGGTTTGAAGTCTTTTCCCTTTAACTGGTCACATTTCATATTTAAACTGTTTGAACTTATAACTATTTACAGGTGTGGTCCTTGTCAATTTATGGTTCCCGTACTCGAGGAAGTAAGCACGCGGCTTAATGATCTGATACAAGTAGTTAAGATTGATACTGAGAAGTATCCCAGCATTGCCAACAAATACAAAATTGAGGCATTGCCAACTTTCATCATCTTTAAGGATGGAGAACCTTTTGATCGCTTTGTAAGTTGTGTTATATTTTCTTTCTGCTTCATTTGCAATGACTTAAATTACATGACATGGTATTTAATTTAAACCTTAAAACTGAATTTGATGTTCTTTATTTATAAAACTGTGATTGCATTAGCGGTGTTGCAAACTTGCAATGTTCTCGGAGATTCTTTAATTTACTAAACTTCTAGTCTTCAATTTTGTTGAAAGTCATAAACCATAATGGTACTGCATCTGATTGGTAACCCGGAATAAGAAATATTTGGAAATCGTTTTGGCCTTTCGTTGGGAACTTTTCAACTTGTGCCTTGTTGACAACATTTTGTAGACATTTGAATGTTTATGAATCATCTAGTTCGAAATTTTGGTTAAGACATGATGTTGGAATGTTCACTTTTACAGACACTACTGACTAAAGTTTGTTTGTGATTTGATCATGATGAAAATGAGGCTGTTTTGATTAGAATGTAAAGAATCTAAAGAATGTCTAACTTAGAAGCTTAGTCTTTGGCCTATGGCATATATATGGCTGTGTTGTATATTTAGTTGTTCAAATGCTTTCTTTCAACACATATTTGAAAAACTTTATTGATGTTTTTTATATTTGACAAAACAAAAGAAAACTAGGATGTTCGTGGCTATTTAGCAACTATCTTTCTAAAGTAAGAAAAAAACATTTTTCTTCATGATTTTCAGGAGGGAGCATTAACAGCGGATAAGCTAATTGAACGCATAGAAACCAGTCTCAAAGTTAAGCAATAACCCGGGTAAGTCTTCATTGTTATACTACTAGTTAAGTACCATTTTATTTGAACAATACTTGCTTTAGGACATCTTTATGAGACTAGTAAAACTCTCCAAAAACCCTTGCCCTCTAAATTGCCATATTACTTTTTTCAGTTAAAATGAAGACATGGATGTTTGTCTATTGGAGTGTTGGATCATATACATGATTGGATAGGAGGATCAAACTGCTGCTTCAACTTAATTCAGACATTTTTCTGTATTTATCACATTTTTTATGCCAAGATCCAGACCGATGAAAAATTAGATTGTTTAATTAGTAGTAGTTTTAAAAAACTCAAAAGTAAACTCAGTTAGTTTGTGTGCTCTTCAATATCTTTGTTTTCCGACATCGAATTCATCAATATCTTAATTTTCTCGTACCCAATGTATAATTTTGTTGTCTTTTGGGGGTTCATGTTAATTTTGGAATAAACTCATAGTTTTCATTATGATTTTGGAATGTACAAAACAGCATTATTTATACTGTTAAAGTAACAAACTGTTTAGTAACAAACTAAACAGAATTGTAACAAACTATAACAAACTAAACTAACTGTTTAGTAATAAACTAAACAGTATTATTTTCATCATATAATAGCCCCCCACAAGCTGGACTATGGATGTCTAATAGACCAAGCTTGGAAACAAGAGAATCGAAAAGAGGGAGCTGCCAAAGGCTTGGTGAGAATATTTGCCAGTTGAGCAACAAAAGAAACTGGTAAAAGATGGATGAGACCAGTTTGGATTTTCTTACGAATGACGTGGCAATCAATTTTGATATGTTTTGCTCGTTCATGAAAGGTGGGGTTGTGAGCAAGGTAGATAGCACTTTTGTTGTCACAATAGACTGAGGTAGGTTGATCGAAGGAGATGTGGAGATCCTTGAACAAATATTGCAGCCATTGCAATTCACAAGTCAAGCTTGCCAAGGCCATGTATTCTGCTTCTGAACTGGATTTGGATACTGTAGACTGCTTTTTGGATTTCCAAGATATGAGGGAATTGCCAAGGAACACACAATATCCAGTTACGGATCTGCGGGTAGCGTGGCAACTTGCCCAAAATTAACATGGTATCAGAGCCTCGTTTAAGATCCAGTGGACCATCCACCATTTATTTCCACGCTCCAGTTGTCTAGTCCTGGACGTGAGGGAGTGTGTTAAGAGTCCCACATCGGACAATATATGGCCTGGCCTGAACATGTATTTATATGTGGGGGCAATCTTCACCCTACAAGCCGGTTTTGTAGGGTTGAATTAGGCCCAACCACATCTTAACATGTGAATGATTCCTTTAGAAAGGTAGAAAGTGGTAATGAGAAACTCAAGTGCATTCGAAGTGATAATGGCCCTGAGTTTCTCATGACCACTTTCTACCTTTTTAAAGGAATCATTCACATGTTAAGATGTGGTTGAGCCTAATTCAACCCTATAAAACCGGCTTGTAGGGTGAGGATTGCCCCCACATATAAATACATGTTCAGGCCAGGCCATATATTGTCCGATGTGGGACTCTTAACACACTCCCTCACGTCCAGGACTAGACAACTGGAGTGTGGAAATAAATGGTGGATGGTCCACTGGATCTTAAACGAGACTCTGATACCATGTTAATTTTGGAATAAACTCATAGTTTTCATTATGATTTTGGAATGTACAAAACAACATTATTTATACTGTTAAAATAACAAACTGTTTAGTAACAAACTAAACAGAATTGTAACAAACTATAACAAACTAAACTAACTGTTTAGTAATAAACTAAACAGTATTATTTTCATCATGTAATAGTTCAAAAACAAATTAAACCTGTACAAAAGTTGGAGTTAGTTTCTGTTTGCAAAGCACATATTGAACCTTTGCCATTCATTTTGGTCCTCTTCAGTCCGAGGGATTAGTCTATGCATGTGTTGCATGTGTTACAATAGTATATAAATTACATTACAACCATATACACGGCAAGCAAGCGTGATAGAGCCCGTTGCTGCCCCCACATGACTAGTAATTGATTGTGCTTTAGCTTGCTTGGCTGGAGGCATGTCTAACACATGCAACTTTCAATATCAAACACATGAACCCTCCAACGTCAAAAATTACTGCTCTATCTTATGACTGAGTTGCTGGCTGAAAGGGCAATCAAGCTTAAGAGCACTTGCAAGTCATAACCATTTGTAAGTGTGGATTTGTAACGCTATAAAGCGACTTGATTGCAACCAACAATAGACATAATTAAAAAAGGTTAAAGTAATTAATATATTTATTTATATTTAAGACCAATAAAACAAATGACATATAAGAGTATTAGCTTTTTTTTTTTTGGTTGCATTTGAGTGTTAAATATTGTAGGGTTAAATATGTTATTGATCTCTATAAAGATTTTCAATTTTAATCTCTACAAGATTTTTCTTCAAAGATTGATCTCTACAAATTTTTTCATCTACATTATTAGTCTCTAACGTTAAATTCCTATAACGGTGGATGACGTGTCATTATAGCTGGATTAATTTTTTTTTGTTTAATTGTTTTTATTTTTGTTTAATAGGTGGACACATTATTTTACTGAAGTTTAACAAAACGAGAAACCCTTAATTAAGTCCCTAATTTCTTAGTTCAGTCTCAGTAAAAACCATCTTCTCCATTGTAAATGTAAATTGCCTAACATTATTCTCCACCGTAAATGCAAATCTCTCAACAACATTGAAGATTGCTCAAATTTAAAGTTGTGGCCCCTGATTCCTTTTTGGTACTCAAAGGTTTTTGTGGTTTCTGCAAAGTTGTGGTTCCAGGTTAGTTCCACTTGTGATGTCGATTTAAGTTGTTCGGTGAAATTCAAATTGTTTACTATCTTAATATGTCCATGTTGCTTTAATTTTTCATCTGTCCCACATTATTCTAGGGTTATGTAGTCTTTGTCGTGTTGACTGTTGCTATTTAGGGTTTTGGTATGTGGGTTATCTGTATTTGTGAGTGTAATGTCAAACTTACCCTCTTTCTTATCTATAATTTACAAGAAATGGAGTTATTCAAGGTGGTATTTTACACTAATGGTCATTTTGTAAAGGACTCAAAGTTAAGGCATGAGGGTGGGATATATATGCGTTCAGTGGACAAGACTCAAATTTTTAGTCATTCTTTGAAGCTTGTGACCTAATCAAGGGGATAGACCCAACCTTTAATGTTGATCAAGCGAAAATGTGGTGGAAAAAAGAACATGGTTGTCTTGAGAATGATCTACAACCATTTACAAACGATGAGGATGCATCTATGTTAGCTTTGGTTGTTGAGAAGAATGACCGTGACGTTGAAATATGTACAGAGCAAACAAATCTTACAGGTGAGTTGACCTACATGGAGAGGTTAACTAAGAAACAAAAGGGACATGAAAGCGTTGAGGGTAGTGATTAGGAGAGTGATGAGGGTAGTGACTCAAGTGAAGACTCAATGAATGATATTCATTTTGATGACAGTGAAGATGAGAGAATGCATGGTTTTGATGATGAACAAATTGATGAAGGGTTAAGGAATATTGTTGATGAAGGATCAAGGGATAATGTTGATGAAGGGTCAAGGGATAATGCTACCATTCATCCATGCAAGTTTACCCCAATAGATATGGATATGGAACATGTCATAGAAGAAGACTATATGTCTTATCAACTTGATAGCGGGGCAGATGAAGATAGTTGTGATGACATACCTGCAGTGATTAGGTTCAATGAGGATGAAACACTTACAAAGGATTTCACATTCAAATTGGGAATGGAATTTTTATCACTGAAACAATTTAAGAAGACTATATTGGAACATAATGTGTTGAATGGTAGGGAGGTAAGGTATGTCAAAAATGATGAGAATAAATGTAGGGTTGTTTGTAAGGACCAAAAGAAGTGCAAATACATTGTCTGATGCAGTAGAGTTTTAAGAACTACAATATTTAGGATCAAAACTTTGTTGCATAAACACATATGTGGAAGAAAGTTCTACAATAAGAATGCCAATGCTGAATGGGTTTCTAGAGTGATCTTTGATAGATTAAAGAACAATACCAACATGAAGTTGAATGAAATGGTGGCAGATGTTAGATTGAGGTTTGCTACAGAAATCACTGGATGTAGGGATTTCTTAAATGTCTGCTCAGGATTCTGCATCAGCTACTAAAATCAGACCACCTACTCAAACTACACCAACTGCTTAAATTGCACTAGTTGTTCAAACTATACCAACTGATCAAACTGCACCAACTACTCAAACTCGTCCAAATGCCCAAACTGCACCAGCTGTTGTCAAAACTTCACAAGTTTGTTAGTTCATATGAGGCTATGAGAAAGTCTTGTGGGATTGACCCTGCAACATTGTCAACTGTGTTGAATGATGATGTGATACTAGACATTGAGCCAATTAATATTGATACTAGTCGACAAAATTAACTGTTACTGCAAAACAACATACTAGTGGAAAGGGAAAGAATATTTGGGATGACATTTATAAGAGATTCATTGAATGAATGGTTGTTTTGTATCAAACTATTTGCTGTTATGTAACTTCTTTTTTGGGTTAAATATGTTTTTGATCCTTATAAATATTTTAAATTTCATTTTTAATTTCTATTAAAAAAATGATAAATTTTGGTCCTTGAAATTTTTTTGTTCATCCAGTTTTAGTCTCTGATATTTTCTAAAATTTTAAAAATTATTTAATTACCCTTAAATTTTTAAATTTTTAAATAATATTTTTCATACGTGTTTAGAATACTATAAAATGTTTCTTTATCAAATTTTAGAATTTTTAAAAATGAAAAGAATTAAATATAGTTTTTTTAAATTTCAAAAGATATTAATAAAAACAATAAAAATTTTGATTTAAAAATCAAGTTTTGAATTTCTTTTTTTCCAAAGAACTTTTTATAACGTTCTAAATAAGTCTATAAAATAATCATTCAAAAATATATATTGGTTTAACAATCTGGACTAAAATTAC